CATTTTTTTTTACATGTAAAAGCCCCTCCCTTTAATGGATTGGTGAGTTAATTATACAAGACAAACATAGACTTGAGTTTAGGCAGGTCTCTGGGGAGGGCAGGAGGAAAGTTTGTCATTTTCCAGTTTTACTGGAGGTTGTCCAGGAAGCAGAGAATCAACAGTGCTGTACTTTTGAATAAAACACTTTCCACATTGAGGTGATAGTCTGAGTCCTTCCTATATGGCCAGAGACAACATTTTGTACTTAGAGCCCAACAGGCAAATAAAAGTAAAAACTTTTGCTATCATCCACAATAGGAATGAAAACTAGTAAAGAGTGCAGACCTGAGTTGAAATGGCACAGTCATCAACTTAGCACCATCAGAAGGATCACCGTAGCAGATGGAAGTAGGCCTCAGGCTGCAGGACTGGGAGGTGTAGGTAGGCCTCAGGGCTGGGTGAGCAGAGCCTTGGACACAAAATATCACCTGACAGACACAAAACTGTCCAAATCCACGACTTGTTGAAAATAAATAAATAAATAAAAGCTTTGTATTAGTGATTTTATGAGATGAGCCGAGGCTTCGAAGCGTGTGTCCAGTAATGGAGGGGGCGTTTTTCCGAAGCGCGTGTCGAGGCGTGGTTCATTTAGAGGAGGGGCCAAAATTGATGACGTCCGAGGCCTCGCTACCGTGAAACCACGTGACCGCTTCGCGAAGCGGTTCGGGAAGCGCAAGAATTCTGACAGGCATCTAAACAGCCTCAGAGTTCAGTCAAGATGATGGAGTTTGGAGGAGAGATGCTGTCAGCTGGATAAAGTTTGAATAGATTCTAAGAATAGATTGGTTGTTTTTCCAACCAATCTAATTGGTTAAAACTAATCTGGTCAGAATAAACAATGTAATGATCAAAATCTAAGGAAACCACTGGAAAAAATCGGTGTTAACACGTCACTTTTAATTAGTATTTTCCTTCCTAAAACGGCTATCCATATAGGTGGCATCATCTGTAAGAGGCAGGCTCTCACTCTAGAGGTTGATGGTTCAACACCTGTCTTTGACTTTGCGATTAAACTTAAGTATTTTGGCTGATGAGACTAATTTGCATTGTTTTGCCTGAGTAAAAATATAGATTGGGTAAATTAGGTCGGTTTGGTCAAAAGATTGGTTGAACACAACTTCCAACCTGATTAAAACCAAAAAACCTGGAAAAACTATCATGTTTGAATAAAAAAAACTAACATCTTTCATTTTGCTCATCGTTGCCCAATTTGCACAAACACTGTCACTGTCTGCTTGAGTTTATTTCACTAAAATGGCAGAAAAACTGTGCACCTTAAATGATGTTCTAAGAAATTTTACACTTAAAAAAAATTACAAAAGATTTTATTATAAACATAAACCATTAATAATTTCGAAGGATCCTAAAAGGGGAAAGAAAGAACAGCTGCAAAAAATCACAGATTTTATTACAAACTGTAGTTCTGCTGTCCACCAGTAGGTGGTGACATGTTCACACGAAGCCTCTTGAACTGTGGGGATCGTTGAAGCAATTTGGCCAAACGGTTCAATGAGGCTTCATCTCAGCATCGCTACTTTTTATGCTTAAAAGAGTGAGTAAAACTGTCTAATGATGGCAAATAAAACAATAAAATCCCTAAAACAGACAAACATTGGACAAAGACACCATGCATGCTGCCATCTTGGATTTCACTTTACTTATCGAGCCTAATGGAACAAGACAATTTACATTTAAAATAAGAAATACTTACTTATTTACTTGTTTACATTGCAAAAATGATCTAGAAATAACCAAAGAATTCTTAAATTAAGTGTATTTTCCCTGAATTTGAGCAGGAAACTAAGATGATTTGCCAATAGAATAATTGTTTTTACTCCTAAAATAAGATGATTAGATAATAAGCAGTTGAACTTAGAGAATGCAATTTTTTGTTCTTATTTTAATTTTAAATTGTGGTGTTCCATTGGGAACATATCTCCCTTACCTCCTAAATGCACTTATTTGAAGAAACAGTGACTTATATTAAGAATTTAATTTTTGGAGTTTTAAAGTTTAGTCTTTGTGTTTTTCTGATTAAAACCTTCACAAAGTGTGGAACAGAGAGTGTCTGTCCTCCAGGGGCGTCTGGTGGACTGAAGGCCTGTGTTTTTGTCCAGCGTGTCTCGCTGCAGAGAGTGTCCACCCAAGCGGGTGTTTTTGTGGTGGTTATGTGTGAAATGTCAGCGCGCCTCTTCCTCGCTGCGGAAACACTGAGTCCCCTCTTCTGCTGCGCTCTCGTGCTCTCAGCTGTTTGCGTGGAGGTTCAGGAATTTGAAGGAAATAGCTGCAGCCGCTGGCCAGATCGTCTGCTCTCCACATCGCCGCCGTGCATCCTCTCTGCAGGCAGGAATGTGTGCAGGAAGAGCCTCTGGAACAAGCTGTGCTGAGATGATGTGCTGTGAAGACAAAGACTCTGTGTGTCCAGCCTAGAAATAAATAAAGACTGTGGATTACTGTGAATGTGGGAGAGGCTGCTGTCCCAAAAAAGTCTGGAACTGTTTGGCATTCAGTCGAGGACTTAAACACTAAACACACTCCGAAGCGGAGGCAATAGTATTAACATTACCATGGCAGAAGGGCCTAGTCAAAGTCCAGAACCAAATCAATTTAGCAGGATGTTTGGAACCAGGTTTAAAGTCGTAGGAAAATCATATTTAAATGTCAAATCATTCTGGTTTAAACATGTATATAAATGTTCTCTATATCGACGATATTGTCCCAAAAGTTAGAAAATTTCTTTTTAAAAAAAATCCTGTCTTAAAATCTGTATGTTTTCTTGCATGTTTCCGGTGTCCATAGCGTTCATTGGTGCTACTTGGTCCCAATGGAATTTCCCATTGGGAACCTGCTAGCACTAAGATGCTAACTGGTTAGCAAGATGCTTCCCACAAACTGGCCACAACAATCCCGCCCCTTTTATAATCGACCAATCACTTTCACGTTATTCACTGGTGTAAAGTCGTGCACCACTGGGAGAATTCGGAAATGCGACGGTTGGAACAGCCGCTTCCCTACGACTTTAAGCCGCTGGTGGAAAGACGTCTGCTGTTTTTATCCAGGAAGTTGAAACAACTTCAAACTGCTTGGATTTTTATTTGTAAAACAGTTTTTAAAGCTTTTATTACTTCCCACTTCCAAACTAGGTGGATAGTTGTAACAAAATGGGTTCAAGCAGCCTTTTAGCAAGGCATCGTTAATACGACGTAGATTGAAAAAGGGAATAATTAAAAAAGAAGAAAGACTCTTAAGGCCGGTTGATTGGACGGCTGATGCAGCACAGTCTGCATCCTCTTACAGGAACTGCAGCCGTCCTCCAACCCTGGACTGATTTAGGAAATCTGCGTCGTCACGGTCGGCTCGTCACCTAAAGTTTCCAACACCTGGTGGAGATTTCCCCCTCATCCCTCTGAGTCCTTTCATGTCTCACAGACCGTTGTAGAGCGTGGCGGCAGTGCCTTTACATCAGAGGGATTAGATAAGCCTGGCTGAGGGGGGTGAGGGGGTGAGGACCACCTGCCTGCTCAGGTGTGTTTCTAAACGAACATGAAAAGTGGTTCATATTTAGGAGATAAGAGCACTTTCAGTTGGTGCCCAGAAAGGGAGACCATCAAAGAAAGATAAATGAGGATTGCTGGTTTTTTTTAGCGTTATTGTTCACCTAAATATTTCTAATCTGGTTGCATCCATTATGCTGTGACTTTGCTGTTGCTCCATTGGAAGAACAGAGATTTTACTCTGAGGGAAAAAACACGACCTGTTTCTCCTGACCGTCTAAATCCTTTTTAAGCCATAAACAAACTATTGCATAAGCAAACCATTTGAAAACAAACCATGCAAAGAGCAGTGTTGCCAACTTAGCGCTTTAGTCGCTATATTTAGCCACTTTTCAGACCCCTCTAGCACTTTGATTTCTAAAAAGCTCCTAGCGCCAAATCTAGAGACTTTTTTCTGCTACTGGAGACTTTGGAGACAACATCTAAAAGCAGCGAACTCTGCTCTCCAGAGCGAGTAGATTGGTAACCCCGCCTCCTGCTCTCCTCTATCTTGTCTGCTGTCATGATTCATGCAGCTATTATTTCATCCAAATGAAAAATGGAGAACAGATAAGCAGATCATGGCTTGTCTACAGTGAAAAGAAGGACTGGGTTATTTACTTTGGCCTTTTTGGAAACACAGGAAGGAGCAATCAGCTAAGTGAGCTTAGTGCTTGGAAAAAATCTTTCATTCCTTTAGAGACAGCATGAAAAGTCAGCTGAGTACAAAACATAGAGAGGAAAACAAGAAGAAAAGGGACAAGAAGAGAGGGACACAACCTAGAACAGATAATGGATGTCTATTCTATTAACATTTCTCTATCTGGAGAATGGGGCTGTTCTATGTGTTGTCTTCTCCGGTCAGAGGGCCCCCTGCCTGTCTTTGCCTAGGACCCTGAATTTCCTAAATCCGCTCCTGATTGGAGGATATTTTTTTCCAGGTGGATCATCTAAATCAGTGGTCCTCCTAACTGTCAATCATTCTGGTGAGTCGCATGGTTTGTTTTCAAATGGTTTGCTGCTGTCTGTTTGGACCTTTCTGAACATGTGCAGCAAATGGACTGATCCAATATGGTGGACACTGAAGGGGGGGGGCTGAGACACACTTAATATTATCAGCTTTTTATCAGGATTTTTTATCAAAAACATCATTAATGTTCACTAATAAGGAATAGTTGGATTAACCACACATGGAAACAGAGTTTTATGGGGCCCCCAGGAACTTGGGGCCCTAGGCAACTGTATTGCCTACTGGTAAATCCCCCCTCATCAATGACCAATGCTGTTTTGAGGTTTTAAACATCTGTAGATGTTTTCCATGAGGAAAGATGTTGGACTTTCAGAGTTTCTCCAGAACAAGCATCATCATGGATGGCCGCTGTAGGATCCAGTCCCGCTAACGCCTGCTTGTCTCTTCTGTCTCAGGCTGAAGGAGATCGATATGAGCGAGTACGACGCTTCTACCTATGAGCGCTTCTCTAACGCGGTGAGGAGGCAGGTTCAGTCGCTGCGGATTATCCTGGACAGCCTGCAGGTCAGTGTCCCCGTTCTTTACGCTCGCCTCTGCTTCCCTTCTGTCGATAACTTTTCATCTTCCAGCTCTAATCTCTTTTCCTGCAGTTGGTATCAACAAGAAATGCGGTTATTCTTTAGAGCAGACTGCATTCTTTGATCCTGCTCTTTCAGAGTTCTTTGTTGCCTCCAGCGGCCTGCCGATGACCATCGATGACCTAAAAACCTGCATTGTCTGCTCAGAATGCAGGAGGACGCCGCCTTTGACGTGACTCAGCGAGCGGAAGGAGTGAAAACGATTCAGCTTCATGGCTTTGAGTTGAAGTTTCAGTGCAGCAGCTCTGCTCTGAGCGGCTGTTTGTTCATGTGACGCGTGGAAAACATGCTGCAGTGATTACAGAGCAGAGGCGTCGGGGTTTGTCTCCTCTCCAGGTGTGGCGCTCCGTGTGCGTGAGCTCGGCCCCTCATCCAGGTGTTTGCATCGGGAATCTTTCTTATTGTGTCTGTGTCCCTTCAGCCGGGGGCTTTTCTCTCACTGTAAAAGTGATGATGACGATGATTATAGCGAGGCCAGCAGACAGGACGCCATGAGGTCATCTAGGGAGTGATTTAGGGACTCCCCCTAATACACACACCTTCTGGAAAACGTTCATGTTAGTTAAGATTCTGAGTCATCCAGGTCTTAGTCATTCCAATCCACTGGACTTTGTTTCCAAGTTTGAAGACGTTTCTCTTCCATCCAGGAAGATTTTTCAATCCAAATGTCAGAAATAGCGTTCAGTTCCAGGTTTTATCCAGCAGCCCAACAAAGCCTGGTTTTAGTTTAGAAAACATGCAAATAGAAACGGATGAACGGGTCCCCCCCTTTGGAATGGGGGTCGCTTGGCTTCTTTGTTAGCCTGCATTGCCCCATACCTGTCTATAAATGTGTTAATTAGGGTCATTGGGTGGGTGGGGCGGCGCCATAGCGCCCTCTAATGACCCGCTGGTCTGAAGTTAAAGTCATCCAGACTCATTCGATTAGTTTCTTTAAACCCGTTTTTGTGTTTTAATCGTGTTGGTTTGTGTTCAGGCTAAAGGAAAGGAGCGGCAGTGGCTGAAGAACCAAGCTATGGGAGAACTGGACGACGCTAAAATCATCGATGGACTAACTGGGGAGAAAAGCATCTATAAACGGCGAGGAGACCTGGACCCAGAGGTGAGTTTCTTTCTGTAGCCGTGGATGTTTATGCTTTCCTCTCACACGTCGTTCCAGGCCTGAAGTGTGTGTGAGGTTTCCCCCGCAGCGCGTTTCTCCTCCTGGAGCTCACGCTCTGCCTGTAATCCCTCCCTGTGTTCTGGTGTTAAGAGCCGCCGCCGAGAGCCGCCCATAATAACTCGCTCCGCTGCATAGTTTTGGTCTACATTATAATAATTACTCCAAGGTTTAGAGCTCAGGTATTTTAGGAAAGCTGCAGCAAAGTAAACAGATTGTGTTCCCGCCTCCATCAGGCCGTCGGTTCTGCGCTCTGATTGGTCTCCCTCTCTGCTTATCCTTCCAGCTGGGCAGTCCTCAGCAGAAGCCAAAGCGTCTGCGGCTGCTGGCCGACGTGTCGGGAAGCATGTACCGTTTTAACGGCGTGGATGGCAGGCTGGAGCGCTCCATGGAGGCTGTGTGCATGGTGATGGAGGCGCTGGAGAGCTACGAGCACAACTTCAAGGTGAAAACATCCAGAAATGTGGAGCAATAAAAACTATTCCATCTTTAATGCGCTGCAGTGCTGATTTCCCTGCATCAACCTCTGCAGTTCTTGGTTATATTTCCTAAAAGGTTGTTCCAAGTGTGTTTTGGGCTCATTTTATTTTTTATTTAAAAAGGCAGTAACCCGTCTGCAGTCTGTTAGTGAGCCTAGATCTGGATCCTTCAGAGTAAACCTGACACTGGAAATAAGCCTGATGTTACTTTCAGACCACAAGCAGCAGAAGCAGCTGGTTTACATGCAAAGTCAATGGTTGATGCACATCAAGGTGCAGCAAAAGGTCCTGCATGGTCAGAGCAGCAGGAGCAGCTCGTCTGAGCTTCTGAGGCGCTTCACAAGCAGCAGCTGCTGGAGTTAGAAAAATGTAACTTTAGCTGCTGGACATCAACCAATGAGAGCAGCTGATCTGGGAGCTGGCAGGGAGTCAGACGCAGCACTGCTGATGCAGAGCGCTATGATCACTCCTCTGAAACCGTTTATTAACGCCTAAATTAACTTCAAATGTAGAAACCTGCCGGCAGAATATGTTGGCTTTTATTATCCTGCTGCCTGCAGTTTGTAGCACAGACCTGAAAAACGCTAACATCTACTTCCAGCCGCCACCAACAGGAGGGGAAAACCCTGGAGAGGCGAGCGGGCCTGAGGCAGCTGCTGCTGGGGATTCCCAGTGACAGCGCAGCGCCGGTATGTGGGGGTCTGAGCGGCTCCCACAGAGAAATAATCTTTGAAGGCAGGATGGTAATCTGGATGAACTGACTGCACAGACCATGTTTTCAGGAGGACTTTCTCACTTCAACATAGATTCTAACTACTTTCTACCCGCTGATCACAGCTAATATAGCCGCCATTGTTCCAGGCAGAGAAAGGATGTCCTCTACATACAGCAGGGACATTGTCTCCCTGATGCGACAGCGTAGTGGATCTGGTTGGACGGTAGAGAATCGTCCCGATCGAACCGTCCATGTTCAATTCTATTCAGTTTATTTCTATAGCTCCAATTCACATCATGTCATCTTAAGGCACTTTCCAGTTCACCAGATCATCCAGTCAGATTGATTCAAAGTTTTCTATCTAAGGAAAACCAGTTGATTGCATCGACTTAAAGGCAATCCCTCACCCTAAGCATGCTTGTAGCGACAGTGGAGAGGAAAAACTCCCTTTGAACAGGAAGAAACCTCCAGCAGAACCAGGCTCAGTGTGAGCGGCCATCTGCTGAGGCCCACTGGGGTTCAAGGAGACAGAAGCAGACATAGAAAAAGAAGCATAGATACAAAAGGCAACTGTCAACCAGCTCCACAGGCGGCCCCGTCCAGGAAACACACAGCCAGGCAGACGAGCTCCGAGCCAGCTCCCATGTCAGAGGATGAAGAGAGCACATCCAGTTAGTCACAGTCAGAGAAACAGGACTACACTGGAAAACAGGCCAAGCTCCAACATCTAGAAACAAAGGTGTTGATGGCAGCAGCACAGCTGATATTTCTCTCCAGGATGGAGTCACAGCCAAACAGGAACAGACCAGATGAAGCTACTATGAGAAAAAGCAGAGAGAGCAGAACGTTAGAGATTGAACTAACAGATTCTGCAGAGTGGGAGAATAGAGATAGAATGAAGCAGAATGATGAAAAAGGGGTCCCTATGTCCTCCAGCAGTCTAAGCCTATAGCAGCATAACTATAGAGATAGCTCAGGATAACCTGAGCCACTCTAACTAGAAGCTTTATCAAAAAGGAAAGTTTTAAGCCTAGCCTTAAAAGTAGACAGGGTGTCTGCCTCACGGACTAAAACTGGTAGTTGGTTCCACAGGAGAGGAGCCTGAGAACTAAAAGATCTGCCTCCCATTCTACTTTTAGAAATTCTAGGAACCACTAGTAAACCTGCAGATTGAGAGCGAAGTGCTCTGTTAGGAACATAAGGAACAATCAGATCTCTGATATCAGATGGAGCTTGGCCATTTAAGGCTTTATATGTTCTGATGACGGTGAGCATCTGACATGTCTCATCTCAGTTACTCTATAAAAAAGGCTGCTGCCTTTTCGCTGGAAAACCTTGCATCTGTGATGGGAGCAGTTTTATGCCCAGACCGTCTGCAGGAAGCCTTCCAGTTATCAGGCTCCTCCTCCTGCCTGAAGCATCAGAGGGAATCAGAAACAGAAGTCAGCGCCGCCTCAGACCAACATGCATTCCCCAAAAATCATTTTACAGTTAGCTGGACCCTTGTGGTTCCCGCTCCGTCGGCTAAGAGGAGCGTTCCTGAGTGGAAACCAAAAATAGCGGCACTGATGGTCACATTACTGAAACGCAGCGAGCGGCTCGTGCTGCTCCTCAGACGCCTCCTTCCTCTGGAACGCCACAGCCTAAGGAGATGACAGACTGACATGCCTGCAAAAGGAGTCGAAGGCAGACAGACTTCTTGGCCCCTAAGTGACACCCAACCCAGTAACCCCCCCCCCCTCAGGTTGTGCTGTGACTCTCACTGCATAACACTGCTGATGGTTGATGGAGCGTCCGTCTCACCAGAAACTAAAGTGTCCCCAAAGCAAGCGCTGCTAACATGCGACACCTGAAATATCTGCAGGTGGGGGGGGGGGGGGGGGGGGGGGGGGGGGGGGGGGGGCAGCCAGGCAGGCTGACTCTGCCGTGTCCATCCAGCTCTGCCGGGGTTAAGGCCCCACGGCGCCCGTTTCTAAGGTTACAGCCTGAGGCCGCTGCAGCGCCTCTCTGTTGTTTTCATCTGAGCCATTAAAGCTGCTTTATGATTCCTGACGTCCGTTTTTCTGATCCTCTCACTATGATCTCCTCTCAGTACGACATCGTGGGCCACTCAGGCGACGGCTGCGACATCGAGCTGGTCCCGGCCGACAAAACGCCCAAGAACGACAAGCAGAGGCTGAAGGTCCTCAAGGTACAGACTCCCATCAGTTAGACGGTCAGAGGAAACCTAGATGGTTTCATCATTAGTTGGATCTCATCGTTAACCGTCTCTCTCCGGTCCTGCAGACCATGCACGCCCACGCTCAGTTCTGCATGAGCGGCGACTACACGCTGGAGGCCACAGAGGCCAGCATCAGGGAGCTGGCCAGAGAAGAGGCGGACGAGCACTTCGTGGTGGTGCTCAGCGACGCCAACCTGGAGCGCTACGGGATCAGGCCGGAGCGATTCGCCCAGGCGCTGACCTCCGACCCGCAGGTCAACGCCTTCGCCATCTTTATCGGGTCCCTTGGAGACCAGGCTGAAAGGTGAGCGTAAAAAGTAGCTCCTCCCCTTCCTAGCCGCCGTTTGTTCCCAACAGGATGAATCGGCAACCGTTCCTCTCTGGGTGACGGAAACGATGTCCTGCCTTTCTTCCAGACTCCAGAGGACGCTTCCAGCCGGCAGGTCCTTCGTCGCCATGGACACCAAGCAGATCCCCCAGATTCTGCAGCAGATCTTCACGTCCACCATGCTGTCCAGCGCCTGACGGGACCCGTCTCAGATTCGCCAACAGAGAGGAGTTTATGCGACTGAGGCCGACGGGATGACCCCGCGATGACATCACAGCTGCTGGAACGGTGTTTCTGTCCAGACGCACACGGAGGCGTCCCTCCTATTCTGGGTCTCAAAGGGAAGGCAGAGGACAAAGCCGAGCTTGTTTTAGATTTCCTCCTCGTTCGTCACTCCCCCCTCCCCCCCCACACACACACACAGACCAACTTTTCCAACATGTGGATTTTCTGCAGCTGAGCTGGAATCCTGCAGCCCAGAGATTCCCACCTTTAGACGCTCTTCAAAGGCGGCGCTGCTGCTCAGCTCGCTGCCGTGTGTCTGGGGGGGGGAGTCGTGTCAACATGCAAGCCTTTTCCTTCCTGGCAGCTGGACCTGCTGACGCCTTCAGCGCTCTCAGTCCCCCCTCCCGTCACGCTGACAGGAGGTCGGCTGGTTTGCCATGTTTTAAATTTTCCGCGTCGCCGCAGGGATCCATGAATCCGTCCGTTTGGATCCGACCTTCATGGAGGAAAAACGTTTTAACCTTAAAGTTTGAGTTTGGATGATGTGGTTTCTCCTCTAACTGTACATGGATGTGAATTTAATAGGAAATAAAAGTGATTAAATCTGCTGTCGGTTTTCCTCTTGAGGCTTTTCTAACCTAAAACTTCTAACTTTTCCTTCAGAAATATAGAGCTAGAGTGAAAGGTTGAACTGGATCTACAGAACCAGAACCATGAGCAGGTTTGGTGTTTCCGTCCGTTTCTATGGGATGGAGGAGCGTCGCTGAAGGAGTCCTCAGCTCGTTGCTTCCTGAGGCGTCCGTTCTTCTGTCCCGGCCTCAGCGCGTCCCTGAACGCCCCGCTGACATCAGCGCTGTAACAGGTTCTGACGCTTTGCCCTGAACGCTGATTCAGCCCCCAGGAACCATGAAACCTTTTTACCTTGTGGAGGTTTTTCTATTTCTGCAGGATCAGGATGTTTGTGTTTCCTCTGGTTTGGATCAGAAGCTGCTCGCTGTTACCAGCAGGTCTGCAGGTTACAGTAGCTCAGATCCGTCGGCAGGAAGCCTGATCAGCTCCTTTATTCCTTAACCCCTTGAACCCTACGGACCCACCGGCGGGTCCAGCTGCTACGTGACCTCGTAATTTTACCAAACCCCCAGTATTGATGTAAAAAACACATTTGGCAGTTTGGTGACATTTATGGATAAATGTGCCAAAATGGCCTCTCTGCCTAAGAAATTTCTCACTAATACCATTCTAAAATAAATATGATTCATCTGATTGAGTCCAAATTTGGTATATTTTTACACAACATTTAGATTTAAAGTCTGTACTACTTTTTTGTGCTATAAATAATATTTTGGTAGTGTTTTGCAATGTTTATTTCAAAGAAAATTTTGGCGAGGTTCAAAAAATGCAAAATATTTTGTATTTTGTCCCTAATATTTCAGGCAGGGTCAAAGCTACAATGGTGCTGACACCAGCAAACCATTCTATGACATCTTACCTTTACAGACGTACCAAAAGTTTCTTCTTAAATCTAATAGCTTTGAGGCTATAAGTGATTTACTTTTGTGTGTTTTTGTCAGGCAGAAATTTATTTATACCCCCTTAGGGTGTAAGAGGTTAAACCTGGATTTGCCACCTTAGAGCCTTTAGGCCTGCAGCCTCCCCGTGTTGCATAACCCCCCCCCCCCCAGCACCAGCATGTGTTACAGTAGAGATAAGCCGAGTCTAGCCCAGCATTAGTCAGAGCTGGCTGGGTTTCTCTGATGTTTAGATGCTCTCTGAGTCACTCGGTCGCTTCGTGCAGCTGTGAAAAAATCCAGACATTAATTCCTAAACATTGCGAAGGACTTTGGGTGTCATCATGTTTCCGTCTGCAGTTGGCGACCAGAGTTTGTTTCAACATGTTTGATCAGAAACCACAACCTAAGGCTGGATGTTTCTGCTCCTATCAACTCAGTCTGTGTGTTAATGTGTGTGTGGGCATCTTTCTAATTTCACCATCAAACTGAGGACCAGTTGTTGCAAAGTGAGGACATAATGGTTAGGGTTAGTTTTAGGATTAGGGCATAGAAAGGGTTGAAAATCAATGGGAAGTCCTTGCAGCTCATGATGTAATCATGACATTTCTTTATGATAAATCTGCAAATTATAAACCATTGGAACAAAAACCATCCATAGAACAGCAATAGGTGGGGAGAGGGGGTGCATAGTAATTCTGTTTATACATTATTCATCTACACTGCCTGGCCTAAAACAAAGTCTCCACCTGGATTCAACTAAGCAGACAGGTAGGAGCCTCCTATTGGATAAATACTGCCAGCAAGTTATTTAACCCCAACTGGTGCAATGACTTGCTTCTCATTTCCTAAACTACCATGTGGAAAGACACATCCTGAGTTAGTCTATTTGAGAAGGGTCAAATCATTGGCATGCTTTAAGCAGAGAAAACATCTAAAGAGATGCAGAAACTACTAAAATTGGGTTAAGAACTGTCCAACGCATTATTAAAAACTGGAAGGATAGTGGGGACCCATCATCTTCAATAAAGAAATGTGGCCGGAAAAAAATCCTGAATGATCACTGGAAAAAATCAAAATCTAGACGAGTCGTTTTTTTCTTAAAATAAGTGCATTTGCTCTTGGATTAAGGTAGTAAAAGAGACATCTTGCCAATGGAACAAGGCAATTTACACTTAGAATAAGAAAACAGGTTAGTATTGTTTAATTTCAAGTGCATATTATCTAATTATCTTATTTATCAGAGTAAAAATACTCATTCCATTGGCAAACTACCTCATTTACCTACTCAAGTTAAGGGGAAATACACTTAATTTAAGGCATTTTTACTTATTTCTAGATCGTTTTTCCAGTGATGGTGATCGGCGATCACTTAAACGTGTGGTGAGATCAGATGGAAGAAAAACAGCAGTAGAACTCAGGCCTGTTTAAGACTGAAAGTAGGAGCATTTCCACGCGCACAATGCGAAGGGAACTCAAGGGATTGAGACTCAACAGCCGTAAGAAAACCACTAATCAGTGAAAAAAAGGCTTCAGTTTGCAGGGAGCGTAAAGATTGGACTGTGGAGCGATGGAAGAAGGTCATGTGGTCTGATGAGTCCAGATTGACCCTGTTCCAGAGTGATGGGCCAATCAGAGGCAGGTGAAGGGATGCAGCCACCATGCCTACTGCCTACTGTACAAGCCTGTGGGGGAGGTGTTTTATAGTTTTTATTTGTTCCTTTTAACTTCATTCTTATTTTGTTAATTTTTTATCTATTTTATTTATAATTCCTTTTCATTTTCTTCCTTTTCCTTTCTAACCTTCAGGACCTTTCCTCAGTGTTCAGCTGTTAAACTTCTATTTTATATATATCTACATCTCTTTAGATCCTCTCCTTGTAACTGAGGAGAGGCGTCCAAAAATAATGCAGCATATTTAAGCCTTTCCAAGCTACAAAGAATTAACATCTAAATAGGTAACTTTTTTTGTTGAATTGAGGGAAACGAGACACTTTGCCAACAGAAAAAAACAATTTACATATTTGTCTTATTTGAAGTGCAGAATATCTAATTATCTCATTTTAAAAGTGAAAATCCTCATTCCATGAGCAAATCATCTTATTTATACGGAAGAGGATTAGGGCCACTGAAAAAAAAAAAAAAAGTTTACTGATTTTAAAATTTTATTTCAGTATAGCATGGGAAAAAAGTCAGAATTCTGACTTTTTTTTCTCAGAATTCTGACTTTTTTTTCTGAGAATTCTGACTTTAATCTCAGAATTCTGACAATAAAAAAGTCAGAATTCTGACTTTTTTCCCATGCTATACTGAAATAAAATAAAAAAAATCTGTTAACTTTTTTTTTTCAGTGTCCCTAATCCTCTTCCGTATATTTACCTGCTAAAATCAAGGCTAAATGCAAATAATTTATGACATTTCTACCTACAGAGCTCCTAAAGGGACATTTTAAAACACAGAAAAACCTTTTTATACACCAGTTATTTTATCATAAAAGACGGACCTTCTCTTTTTTTTTTTTTTTTTTTTACCTTTAATCCATTTTGCAGACATTTTGTAAACATCCATCTAGTTCTGTTCTGCAGTTCTATTTGAATTAATATCACAACATAATCAGGCTTTGCTCTGAAATAGACCAAAGGACTTCAGGATACTGGAGGTTTCTTCCTGTTCAAAGGGAGTTTTTCCTCTCCACTGTCGCTACAATCATGCTTAGTGTGAGGGATTGCTGAAGAGTCAATGAGTCGATGCAATCAGCTGGTTCTATTTCATCCCTACTGACCGCCAGAGGCGGTGCTTCAAGCACTGAATGATCATTCTTGCGCATGCGCAGGTCGAGTATTAATGACAACAAAGTCAGCTGTGACCTGCCGGGGACCCACGTGACTCTATATAGTCACGTGGCACCCGGCAATCAATCCCTTTTGTTCTTCTCGCGCGCAGGTGTGTTGAGTACCGGAGTGTGGTCGTGTGAAGCTGCTTGCTTCTGTGTATACCACTAGTTTCCTGGCTGCTTGTTGCTGGTAGCCCCGTGACCGGGTTTGGTCGGAGCTGCGGGTAAGTCTCGCCCTCCAGGGGCTGCACAAGCTGCTTTCACCTTACCAGATCTGCGGTGACTGGTAAGTTTTCGTTCTTTTCTCAGCAGTAGTTTACTGTTCGCTTTGATTTGCCACGTTAATTTTGTGGCTCTTTTGACTCACGGTAGCGTTTCTGCTCGCGCTGAGTTGTTTTCAGTTTGTTTGCCTAAGCCCACCAGTAGCGTTTCTGCCCGCGTTGGGTTCTTCTATAGTTTGTTTATCTACACTCACCAGTGGCGTTTCTGCTCGCGCTGAGTTGTTTTCAGTTTGTTTGCCTAAGCCCACCAGTAGCGTTTCTGCCCGCGTTGGGTTCTTCTATAGTTTGTTTATCTACACTCACCAGTGGCGTTTCTGCTCGCGCTGAGTTGTTTTCAGTTTGTTTGCCTAAGCCCACCAGTAGCGTTTCTGCTCGCGTTGGGTTCTTCTATAGTTTGTTTGCCTAAACTCACCAGTGGCGTCTCTGCTCGTGCTGAGTTCATCTTTAGTTAATAATCGATTTGCTAGTGGCGTTTCTGCT